TCTGAAGCAAAACTATTTTCTGCATTAGTTTGTTACAATAAGTGATTTTAGAAGATGGTAATTACAAATTAAATAAGTTTTTCAATATAATTCTGTGATCAGATTAGATGAAGTTTTATGTGTTGGTTATCAATACTATTTTATATGCACGTCCTTCTCGAAGATCAAAACTTAATGATGGGCAATACAAGGTTTTTTATGCATGGAATAGTCTTTCTCAGTGATTCAAGGACCAAATTAAAGTGCGTTTACATGTGTTAATTAGAGAGGGTATTTTTCAAATATTTATTCTCCGATCAATTCTTTTTCTCTGGCTGGAAATGATTCCCATTTGTTTTTCTTTTCTGATAACTTGAGAGCAGTATTAAAGGGATCTCACACATACAATGGGGGCACATGGTAAAGAATACTGGATCTGATCTATTAAATATGCTTTTTATCTATCTCCCTTTATTTAAGAGGAAAAGAGGAAGAGAAAAATTCAGGGAAGAATTGCTTTTCCAATAATAATTCCGGATTTGGATGTTCAATTCTTTCCATCCCGGTCGGTATGTCAAGAGATTTTGAAGAGAAAAAAAATAAATAAAAGGGCTCAAGCATCGTGACACCAAGAAAAATGATAAGGGGATTTAATGACTAATTAAAGCTAGGGTTAGACACACTAATCTGGCTATATATACTACTCCGTAGTATAAGGATGTTTTCTTTTGGACTGAAATTTGCTGGTCTGGTCTGGTCTAGTCTGGACTGGTATGGTCTGGTCTGGTAAACGTCTAGTCTCTGTGTATTTTATAACTACGAAAGTCTGGTCTGGTCAGGTATGGGACTGAAAAACAGTCCAAAAGAAAACATCCTTATACATCTAGCTCTAACTTTTTAAACAAATACACTCTGAAGGGAATTACATTTCTGTGTAATTCCTATTAAATTATTAATTAGTGTGGCACATTGGTCTGAGCATGAGCAACTGATAACATCATACTTCCTCTGTCCCATTTTAGTTACTCATCTTTGATTTTTCTAGTAAAAAATGTAAAATTTAGCCGATTATTTTAATTAATATATTTATGAAAATTTTAATAATTTTATATTTTTATTATAGCATTTTTGTCAATGAACATTTTCATAGCAGTTTCATATTATCAATACTTATGTATATAAATATATAACCAATCAAAGTTAAACGTCATTGACTTCAATAGTCAAATTTGACTAACTAAAATGAGGCAGAGGAAATAATATATATATATATATATATATATATATATATATATATATATATATATATATATATATATATATTCTCTGTGTTCCAAAATGATTCGCATTGTTAATTTTTCTTGGTCAACCGAATTTCATTTTATTTACTTGATTATATCGATTTTTATTATATTCTAAAAATCGCAAAATGCAATTCAATTTTGGATGAAGTATAACTCTTTTTGTTCTTGCCCCTTATTAGTCTATACTCCGTATAATGTATAGTATATATATACTTTTAATTGAAAGTACAATAATATTGACATATACTAGGCAATACATACGACAACAAAAGATATGGTTAAAACTGATTATGGAAATAATTCAAAAACCAAAATGTTTGTCACTGGTAAAACTATCAAATGGTACTAGAAAGCAAGTGAACCCCCTCATACAAGTATTACGACAATGATGCAGAACGGAAAGAGTCAATGAATGATCATTGATATTATATGAATTTATCTCCAAATCAGCTTAATTACTCTCACTCGATCATTTACTAGGTGTCTAGGTGGTAAATTTTAGATAACTTTACCTAATCTGTTAATAACCCATCTCTCTATATATCACTCTTACGTATACTAATTAATTTGCTATTGTTTAACTAATTAAGCTCTACATATATATGATAATATATACTTACAAATTATATGGTAGAAGGTACACATGGGAGACCAACAAACGTAGAAACAACGTGGTACGACAAGGAGGAAATTTTAGGCAGACTGTCTACCAGGTAGAAGACATTACTTCAAGTAACTGAAACCAAATTGCATTGACACGTAGGAAATCTGGTATAGTAATGACAATGATTTTAATTTAATTCTTATATAATTAAGTGTTACTCCGTATATATGAACACTAGGCGCCGGTTTTCTAGCAATGTGTTACACTAAAATCGAAGGGAATTTGTTTTGTCAACTCCGAAGGTATTTTTTTATTTTGTTTTTTTTTATCGTTTTTTTTTGTTAGTTGATGCATTTCCGGACAACCCTAGACCGGACCAATCGACCTGAAAACCAGCCGCCATACATCAGCGATTAACCAACTAATATTCGAGAATGATGATCATTCAGATTTCCGAAAGTATTTAGAACACCTCAAAAAAAGTAATTAACTAACATTCCTAATAGGATGAGCTGTGTTTACTATTGGGAGTAAATCAAGAGGTGGTTAGGAGTAAGTATTTGGGTCTGCCTGCTCTAGTAGGGAGGAAAAAGAGAGAAATATTACTCTACTTAAAAGAGAGGGTGTTGAAACGGTTACAGAGTTGGAATAACCGCTTCCTCTCAAAAGCTGGGAGAGAAGTCCTATTGAAAACGGTTATCCAAGCCATGCCTACGTATGCTATGAATGTGTTTTTATTTCCTGATAATTTGATCATGGAGATTGAGAGACTCATGAACGGGTATTGGTGGAGGGGAAATGATTTAACAGGTAGGGGCATTCGGTGGAGGAATTGGAGGGCATTGTGTCTTCCAAAAACTTGTGGAGGGCTTGGTTTTAAGAGGCTAAAGGAATACAATATCGCTATGTTAGGAAAACTGGGGTGGAAACTTTTAACGGAGCCAAAAGCTTTGATTAGTCGGGTCCTCGCGGCCAAGTATTATCCTAAGAATAGCTTTGTTGAAGCTAAATTAGGATATAATCCTTCATTTGTTTGGCGTAGCATCTTAGCAGCCCAAGAAGTTGTGGTAGCAGGTTCCCGACGCCGGGTTGGGAACGGTAAGGAAATATCAGTGTGGAGGGATGCTTGGCTTCCGGGGAAGGGCACGGGCAAAATTCTTTCAGCCCGACCAAGAGGTATTCTAGATATGAATGTTGCGTCTCTGCTTTTAGAAGATGGAAAAAACTGGAATGTGCAGCGTATTAATAGTATATTTTCTGAGGAGGAAGCTCGTGCAATTCAGAGCATTCCTTTAAGTATTAATCAGGTTGATGATGGGTACCGTTGGAATGATGAGGCCAAAGGAAATTTTTCGGTCCGTAGCTGTTACAGGAGACTTGTGGGCGAGTTTCAGGCAACAAAATGGTTGGAAATTTCGCATTCCACCTAAAGTGAAATTATTTTTTTGGCAGCTTGCTAACGGTTTGCTACCTACAGGCGATGTTATGAGAGCTAGACAGGTGCAGGTATTGGGAGTTTGTCCCGTCTGCAAGTTGGAGAATGAAACAGCAACTCATTTGTTTTTAGAGTGTGCGGCAGTGCGGGAGACTTGGCAGAAGGCAAGTCTGGCAGATTCGTTGAGGGAACTTTCATTTGAGGAATGGCTTCAGTTCGTGTTTAACAAGTTAGGGGAGGAGGATCTCTCCAGGCTTATCATGCTTATGTGGAGTGTCTGGAAAGCTAGGAACGCAGCTGTGTGGAAGGCAGAAGCGTTTTCTCCAGGAGTTGTGTACCGAGTGGCAGAATCCATGCTAACAAGCTGGAGAGCAGCCCGGAAAGATGACAATCAAGCAATGAGGGCGAATCCGACCATATCCAAATGGAAGAAACCTGAGATTAATTGTGTTAAAATTAATGTTGATGCAGCCAATGATTCCAGGTTTAGGCGTTGGGCTTGGGGATGGGTATGTAGAGACAATGAAGGCAATTTTATTAAAGCTCGCAGCAGGTGTGCTACAGCTTCATGGTCTCCGGTGGAAGCAGAAGCTCTGGGTGTCCGAGAGGCTATTTTTTGGGCGAGAGATAACGGGTGGGGTCATGTAACTGTTGAAACAGATGCAGCATTAGTGGTGTCGGGGATTGAAGGGGATCGAGATGCATCTCAAGTTGGTCTGATTTTTGATGATATAAAATCTCTTTTGAGTGATAATGTTAATCTAAAAATCAAGTGGTGTGGAAGATCAGCGAATCAAGTAGCTCATGCTATCGCAAGAGTTGCTGTTTCTAAGTCTGATTGTGTTTCTAGCTTTTCTAGTCCACCTTCATTTATTGTAAGCCGATTGGCGCACGATTTATTAATATAATTTTTGGCATTTTTTTCAAAAAAAACTAACATTCCTAATACAAAAGAAAACTATTTACTATCTATCATGACAAGCTATTGAGTCACTAGCTTAGCTAATACAACGTTTTAAGGGTTTACATTTTATTTACGGAATAACTATTAAGTGTATAGATAATTAGTCTTTCCCTAAATAGATTTTCCATTTTTCTTTTATTGGCGTCCTTAAATAAAATATTCTTCCGATATTTGGTAAACAAATTTCTACCAATTTAATTTACTACCCTTAAATCAGGGTCGTCTTTTAGGAGATGCAATAGGTGTTTGGCACCATGACCCACTTTTATAGGGGCTTCTAAAATGTAGTGTGTAGTAGTAGTTGTAGGTTTATGTTTCTAAATATTTTGTATTATTTTAGATTTTAAAAGGTGTAAAACTTTGAAATTATCTAATTTCTGTACTTTAAACATTATAAAACTTATATGTCACTGAACTATTTTGTCTATCTCTGTTTCAATGTTAAATTTTGTATTATTTTTTTGTTTTAGAAGGCCTTAATTCGTCATTTGGAACTGAGACATCTAAATTCATTTGAGGACCCTGTCTTAAATAGTAATGAGTCCATAGTACAAAATAATGTTAAAGAATATAAAAAAGTTTCAAAATAGGATACTCTACAACAACAAAATTTATCCCGCAATAGAAAGAGTATTTAAGAAAGTCAAAGCGGAATCTTTATGTAGTAATACGTATTAAACTGATAAAAAGGGATTAAAGAGAGGGAATACGAACCACCTGAATGCCAGCGGAGGTCTCTTCGAAGTCTTTATCATCAAGGCGATACTCGTGCATTACCCAATCGGTTCTGATGCCCTGAGGAGCTCTTCCACGGTAATAAACTAATGTTTTCTTCATTCCGATTGGCCGGTTTTGTGACATCACTCGCCGGTCTTTTCCGGTTGATTTCCAATAACCGGCTCGGGTTGCTCTGTTCGTTCTGAACCCATTCGGGTATTTCCTGTCCCTTGGCCCAAAGAAATACCACTCTGGATCTCGACTTGGCAAAAATGACTTCTCTAAATAAATGAAGAAAATGAAATTATAGAAACAAAATTGAGGTGAATATGACATAATTTACTCTTATTTAGGTAATAAAAACATATGGTTCTTTTTTGAAATTTTAAATGTTTTTACTTCTATTGTGGACAATTTCTTTTAAATTGTACGGACTTTTAGTTACTCTTGTTAAATAAAGTAAGGACAGGAGGAAGTAATGATTTTAATGTTTGTGATCGTTTGATGTTGGTCGCATTGTTGGTACTTAGTTAATGGGAAAATTTCTGAAATAGAAGTAAAAAAAGTTCAAAAATTTAAAATATGACTAACATATTTTTATTCCCTAAATATGAATAATTACTGTCAAATTTGGAAAATACTACCAATTTTAAAATCGTGTACTGCCAAAACATGACAATATTTACTCGTTTTAGAAGATAAAAACATAATAGTCCTATTTTAAATCACACAAACATTTTTAGTCCTATTTAGGAAAATTTCCCTTAATTAATTTGTAAAAAGCTATCATATTTGATACGTATTTTAAACATGACAATATTACTGCATCCCGTATTTTAATGTTTGATACACTTACCTTTTTGGGATATATTTAAAAGTTTGTTACATTTTCTCTTTTGATAAGTTTTTCCTTTAAAAATATTCAATTACTAACTTTTTCTATTTTTTATCTTTTCTTTCATACTTTTTCACCACATCTCCTACTTTTTGTTCGTTATTCATTACCCTTATTATTTTACGTTTAAATAATGTGTTTAAACCTGTTGTAGTGAACATTGAAATAGAGAGGGAGTATCTTATTTGTATCTTTGGCTAGTATGAATGGCTCTTTTAAATGAAATTGAAAATTGTACATCATAAAAATTAACTTCTTTAATACAATGTGAGCATATTACATTTTACATGTTAAGACCCTTTTATTTGATCCGTCCCCATTCTTTTACATTTATATGCGTTTGTGTATATATTTATCATATATGTAATCAATAGTTATCTTATTTTATCTATTAATGTGGTACCGTATTCAAAATTATAGAATGATTAAATAGATCTTATAAAGAAAAGCAGTTTAAGAGAATTCACGTTTAATCATTAATCTTGGTACTAAATTAAATATTCCAACATGAAAAGTAGCTTATCATCATCAGTTCAACCACATAATTCAACAACATGATAACAACTCTCTCTAACAATATACTCCGGCCTTTAAACGTTTGTCTAGTTTAATTTTCTGGTCAACGTATTTAAATTCAATGATATGATATTATCACATTTTTAAGAACTAATATGTTAAAAAAAACTTTCTTAATATAAATCATTTACATAAACTAAATTATTGGTTAAAGTACAAAAAAGTAGTCAAACATTGGTTAAACAAGTCTAGTGTTAAAAAATTAAAAGAAATGCTTTTAGGCTATCTACATCGTCTTTTCTTTCTCAGTTGTAACGTTTCATCTTGCACATTTTTTACAAGACATTTGACCGTCAATATATCTTATTCTCTATTAGTAAATGAAAATTAAAATCAAATTTTGAAAATTTGTAATGAGGCGAATTAAATAATGTTTTTGTAAAAATCATTCTTATAAATTAATAAATAAAATGTAATCAAAATAAAGAACGTAAATAATGTATAATTCAACACATTACAAATAATAAAAATAGAGTTTAGTATATTAGAAATATAATGCAAAAGCCTAGATGATTGTATTTCGAATTTCATGATTCGGATGAATAAGAAAAACTCAAAAGCGAGAAACAAAAAGGAAAGGAAAGGAGGAGGAATAAGAAGTGGGAAACGAACTGTAGTAATAATTAATGAATGAATGGATTAAAGAACCTGCTAATTCCCAAGGCTCACACTTGTAGAGATCAACTTCAGGAATAATATCAAGCTCAATCTGGAGGCCATGAATCTTCCTCTTAAGGTAATAGTTGACCAGCTCTTCATCCGTCGGATGGAACCGGAAACCAGGAGGCAATCCGACCGGCGACATTCGATCTCCGATGACCTTTTGATAATTATATAAGTCGCTCGCGCGCTATATATATGTATGTATTTATGTGTGTTGGCCGGAGAGCTAGCGCCGGACGGGCAGTCCTCCTCGCCCTGGATAATGTATGATCGATCAGACTGTAACAGTAACACCGTTTAATTTGGCATTGTACTGGAAGTTGAGCAGAAATGATGGCAATTTATATGTGAGCGTAAAGCAGTTCAAAGTCCTTTGTCTTTGAGTCTTTTTTTGCTTTTTTACCCTTTTGTGGATTCTCTCAAACAAACGTTTCTCTCAAGCCCATCTACTCTTTGTCTTGTATTGTATCCCACTCTTACCTTATAAGTATATTTTCATGCTTAACATTATACTCCGTAATGTAGTACCTGCATATAATTGGCCGGTACTATGTCTGTTGCATAATACCTCTGTGCAAGAAATACCTGATTACTATTAAAAGAGAATGGAAGTAGTATTTAGGTTGACCACATAATAGACTAATAGACTATTATGTGGTCAACCTAAATACTACTTCCATTCTCTTTTAATTGCAATATTGGACGTTTTTCACTATTCACATATTCTACTTTGACTATATTTTATTTATTAATGTATTATAAATTAAATTTTAAAAAAATATTGTTAAATTGTTCTCATTCTAAATTTTCAAAATATGAATTTTTAAAATTTTTTACTAATAAGAAAAAAAAGATATTAATGATCAAACGTGTGCATTGTCAAACGTAAAATGTTGATTGTTGCAATTAAAAGGGAACGAACGCAGTAATTGTTATAATTTCATTTTATCAAATTTCATTTTTTGGCGATTTCATTTTATACTACGTATACTCCATCACTTTACTAGCTAGTGTAAATCAGCCGACCATCTACGTTTTCCCTCGTGAAGTTAGCGGCTAAAGCAAAGAGCATAAGAGAGAGCGCGGTGATCGAAACTAGCTGGCTATGATGGGGAGAATACCATACAAAAGTGACCAATACTAGATATCCCCAACAGCACATGCTTTAATATCCTGTGCACCATTTTTTTTAATTAGATTTTTACAATTCAGTAAATTGCATCATCTATCTACTCACCACCAAAATTGATCAATTGAAGGTGTTACAATTGACTCTGATATCAATAGTTGGTTTATCCGGTCTCAGTAATAAATGATGTATTGATATAAACAGATCAATGCACAAGAAACATCTCAAAAGCTAGAAGAACGAACGATTGAAAATGGTGTATATGTGAAAAGATCAATAACTAGTCTAGAGAGAATATTTATATTATGGCACATAATGATATGTCGTGAAAAGCTTGTGTACAACATTACCCTAAAGGGTACTGTGTATTTAATTTGTAACACTTGAGATTAATTTAAAATGATTAATAGTACTACTCACACCAACAGTGGTGACATCTCCTTTTAAGGGAGCTCATCACCTAAGAACTCCTAGTTAAGCATGGTTGCACGGAGTAATTTTGGAAAATTTTTTAGGGCGCGCTCGAGTGAGGATAAAGTGCGTGGTAAAGGCTCGTGGTGGTTTGTGATGACAGTACTAGAGCTCTAGAGTAACTACTTCGGGTCCTGCATGGCCAGGGTGTTACATGTAGTATCAGAGCAACCCTATAATAGTGTGCTGATCCGTTATATATCAGGCAAGAACGTAGCAGAGGAAGATTCTGGGATATGGTTGTAACACTTGAGATTAATTTAAAAAAATTAATAATACTACTTATACCAGCAGAGGCGCGTCTCCTTTTAAGGAAGCTCATCACCTAAGAACTCCAAATAAGTTAATAAATGTGCTAGCTTGCACGGGAGTGGTCTAAAGTAACCAACTAGCTTAGAGTCATGCAGGGCTGGGGTGTTACTTTGAGTAATGTGGATGTGCAATACATTAAGGTTGGGCCTTATCACTTTGGTCCAAACTTATAAAAGGTTAAACTAGCTAATAGAATAAAGGCTAGTTAAACTAAATAAATACAAAGGATAGATTACAAATTGATTCGCAACAAAATGTTTACTATCTTAGGGTTTTTAGCGCAAAAGCATGTTTAATCCGCTTTGATATGGAGGAGGACTATCTTAGGTGTTGGAATTCCTTAGCCTGGTCTATTAATGGTTACATGATGTGTGTAACAAAATGGTTGTAACACCCCCAAATTTCCCAACCAAAAATATCTTTAAATAATACTTTGTTTATTAACTTTAATTTAATTGAAAACATCAGAATTGTGCAACGAAAAATTCAAATAGGAATAGGGGCGTTAGTGCCACACACGGTCCTCCCTTAACCAAGTGCACATGATAAAACATCATAAACACAGCATAATGTATTGAAAATAAAATTACAATGATTCACTAATTATATATGTTTGTGAAACAAATTTTAAATATTTATTTAAAATTGATTGCAAATAATAATATATGAGAATATTGGGTTCAATCTCTAAATATGAATTCTCTGAATCTTCACCTGCAATTTGAAATAAATATAATTAAAGAAGTTAATTCAAAATTAAATCTTTAATCCTTCATATATTCGAACATTCTTCAGATCTTCGAATCTTCGTTTTTGAGATCTTCAAATCTTCGGACTTTCGTTCTTTGGATCTTCAATCTTCTTGAATTAGTAATTCTGCTTGAAGGGCATCCGGTTTTCAAGTAGCTTGATCTTCAACAAAAGGGCCGTTTTGTTGCTTAATCTTCTGTTAAAGAGTTTCCAGGGATATATAGCTTGATCTTCAATTAAATTTTGATTCAATCTTCATATCAGTATCTTCAAAGATTCATTCTTCAGGTCTTCAAATCTTCAAAGCATTGTTTTTTAGATCTTCAAATCTTCGAGCTTCGTTCTTCAGATCTTCGAACGTTCATCAATTTTTGGACATATTTTATCAAGAACGGACAAAACCACAAGGGATTATTCGTATATTCTTAATAAACTCCGTGACTTGATCTCTTCCTCTTCTTCGGAATCATTCAGAGCCTCTCGAGAGTACTTCAAAGCTTTTCTGCAGCGTTTCTTTGACCAAAAATTCTCCCCCTTCTTTTCGACTAGACCCCTATTTATAGGTGCGGAGGGTTTGAAATATGCATTAAAGTTTGGGAAATTCGTCCATATTCCTTGGGCCTTAATTAAAATGGATTTTGGGCTCTATTTGCTTGCATTTCAATACCTAGAAAAATGAGCAATTATGCAATGTATGTGGCAACTATTTTCCATGCATATCGACCAATTTCTTAACTTGATTTGTTGTTTTCTCTATCAATTGGATAATGTCTCTTTTTTTTCAAGGAAATGCAAAACTTTATTAGAAAAGAAAGATGTTACAAGGAATATTTTTTTTGTGGGGCAAATGCAGGGAGTCATTTGTCGTTATATTATAAAAAAATAGAGATGAGTACAAAGCAAACAATAATCCCGGATGGCTAAACCTGACCGGGATAAAGGAAAGCATCAAGAATAAAAAAAACATAGGGAATAGAGTCCATATCCAATCTAATAGCACCCACAACTTCTTTAGGAACGATATCACCTATCCTCCATGTAAATAAATGTTGAAGGCTCAACCTTGCCACAGCCCGAGATGCCTGATTCGTTTGGTCCTGAATAAATGACAAACCCATTCCACGGCCCAATATAGAACAACCTGCCTCATAAAGATAAAAAGAGGAAACCTCTACCACCGAATTAAGAAACCCCAGACTGTCGGACCATTCCACCGCCTTACGCAGAACTTCTTCATCCCGAACCGAAGAGCCACTCAACGGGAAGCCTTCAGCTGCAACCATCGCCCCAGAGTGATCCCTGATCAAGAAACCTGCAGCCGATTTGCCAAACTGTCGAGATAATGCAGAATGGAAATAAAAAACTAACAAGTAGCTAAAACCCAACCCGAAGAATAAGGGATCATGTCTCTTATATATTGAGCAAAACTATTTGATAATAGGCTCAAAATAGAGAAATTAATAGAGCCAGTTCATTCTTTAAAAGATGTAATTTATAATTAAATTAATTGGACATTCAAATGACCCGAATTAGTTCGGATATAATTTAGTGATTAAATTAATTTAGTGATTAAATTAATCTACTTGTTAAAACCGAGATTATATGGTTGTAAATGGGTCGTTAGGACTCATTTGATTGCTTTTTACAAGTAGACGTATCTATATGACACTTTATTGAGTACGTGGCCCTATGTGACAATTTCATAATAGTAGAAGACTTTATTTGACCCTTTTCTCTTTCTTTTAGCAATTCCTCTAGCCAAAATTCCCATAGGTATCAACATAGTATTCCCTTCTTCGTTCATCATTGGGACAGAACTTAAATCTTTTCTTTGATCCCCACGTGTTTCTTCAGCAAGGATACATGAAACACTGGATGGATCCTACTTCCTTTAGGTAATTCAAGTTTATAAGCCATTGTTCCAATTCTTTATATAACTGGAAAAGGTCAACATTATTTGGGACTTATTTTCCACATTGCGGACTTCTTCATACTCATCTGTTTGTAAGATTTGAGTTTAAGATAAACCCAATCTCCTATAGTCAACTGTCGCTCACTTCTATGTTTGTCAGCCATCTCCTTCATTCTTTGTTTTGCTAAATTGAGTTAATGTTTGAGTCTTTCAGAAATCTGCTGCCTCTTTTCCAGATCATCTTCCACTCCTACCACTGATAATTCTGAGTAAGGCCCCATGTTAATTAAAGGAGGTTTGTAAGCAAACAAAGCTTCAAAAGGACTCATTCCTGTTGTAGTATGATTGCATCTGTTATACCACAATTGAGCTAGTGATGACCATTTACTCCATTCCTTAGGATTATGTCCACTCATACATCTTAAGTAACTCTCCAAGCATTGATGTACCCTTTATGTTTTCCCATCAGTTTGGGGGTGATAAGCACTACTTAGATAGTGTTGAAAACCCAAAGATTTAAATAACTCCTTCCAAAAGAGACTGATAAACACCTTATCTCTATCAGATGTAATAGACTCAGGTAATCCATGAAACTTGCAGACCTGATTCAAGAATGTTGTAGCTACACTTGGTGCAGTAAATGGATGGCTCAAGGGTACAGAATGAGCATACTTAGTATATCTGTCAACTGCTACCAATATGACATCATACCCTTCAGATTTAGGCAATTTTTTTTTTAATAAAATCCATGTTAACAT